AAGGTCTGTAGTCACTTTTCTTTTTTGTCACTTAATGTCTTCAGCTATGAAAATGGGATTCCAGGATCCAAGGCATGTTTGTGTATTAGACCAGTAGAGGTCACCAGATACTTACTAGAAATTTTAAGGATGCTAGGTAAAGTCTGAAAGTTCAGGACTTTATTGATCATTCTATCCAACTGTCTTTCAGTTCATATACAACCTAGGTAAAAACATTTTGGTGCACAGTGCTTTGGAAATAGGTGCTTTAGAAATACTTGATAGATCAAGGAATAATATAATATCTGAGTACTGGGACTTTACAGGTCTGAGGTCAAATATTTAAAAAAACTAAAATTCCCTTGCAAAAGACTTACACTTGTCTTCTCCCCAAAAATTCAATGTCTTGGACTATCTAGTATCCTGTGTCCTGTTAGAGATTTACTGTTCTTCCCATTTGTCAATGAAACAATGCATCTTTTAGTGACAGTGTGCTAGCATGCTGGTACCAAAGTAGTGCAATAATGGTTGTGGGAGAGGAAGTTTGAAAAAAACCCCAACCTATTTCCAAGTGTGGCTTGTGAGCACCTCTATCCCTGAGACCTACCTAGAAATGGTCTCTTTCACCTGCTCCAGAAAACACATTTTACTTCTCTTCATCCCTTGGGGACCCATGTCTCAAGAATCTTGCTTCAGTTGGCCTCTGACACCATTTCATCTTCAGCAGATGGATTTTGTCACATAAGGGAAGCATAGCTTCTCCCACCACTGGTGGCTCAGACAAAAGACTTCCCTAAGCTATTCAAAATGCATGGATCTACAAAATCAAGCTTGAATACTTTCAAGACCTGACTATTTTTAAAGATGTCATGCACTTCCTGCATGTGTTTGTGCTGTGAGAAACTTGAAAGACAGCAGGAGGAAATTTTTTCCTCTTTTTCAATACAATAAATGTGTGCATGTCAGGGGACAGTATTTAGGGAGAGTAAAACTGACTGCAAAATTAATTCATGTACTAACACCGCGTGGGTGCGTGCACAAGTTTGTGCGCACACACACCTCTTACACAGAAGCAGAGAGAGATTTTATTTTAAAAATGATGGTATATTCAGCAACATTGGCAGGTTTCCCTAGGGCAGGTGCAGGGCCTGAAATTCCTTTTAACTTGTCTTTGAAAATGTAGCTATTAAATGGATAGTGTCCCTTTAACCAAAGTCAATTCCAAACAAAATAACTGTTAAAGCTTTAATTTCATGTCTAAAATGAGCTTTGTTTACTTCTCCAGGCTCCATTACTCCCTCTCCGTTAGAATTGCTTAAGAAAACACTCTTCGCTCTCTCAATTTTCCTTCCCTAGCCCTTTCTTGGCATATACAGTAAGACAGTAGTCTACGTTCTTTCAGCTTCGCCTTCACTCTGAACATCTGCTTCAACAACCCTTTAACATGTTTCTACCAAGCTGTTCAGTATTCCAGGTAGACCCTATCTGCATCCTGCATCCCAGACAAAATACATTTCTGATGCTACTCTTCCTAGCCCACTGAATCCAGTAAGTGGACTTTTTTGTGTTGTTTTTTTACTTGTTTTTGTTTTTCTATTTTGTGGTTTTCCCTCTCCTAGGGACCGATTAGTTTTCCCATAGTTGTTCATTGCAGGTTTTCTTGCATTCTCTCCTTGTGTATTTGGTACAGGCCATTGTCAGAGAAAGGGTCTTGGGCTAGATGGATCACTGGGCTGATCAGCACCCCAACTGTTATGTTAGGAATATAACAAAACGTGCTTAGATTGAACACAGCTTCTCACCAAAGCAGATCAAAACACTATGCATAAGATGGATTCAACTGGAATGGAGATTTTTAAAAACTGCTCATTAGATGGATTTTAAGACCTTTGACAGTTACATTAGATAAAAATAGAAGCCCTCATACTACGGATGTGCTCATTTCACATAATTGCCCAATCCTGCTTTTAAGCCAGCTATACTCTTGGCCTAGCTCTACTAGTAATGAAATCTGTGGATTAATTATACATTTTGGCTTTTAAACAGTTTTCTTTTACAATGCTGGGTTCTGATTTTAAAGGGATATTGTAATATTTTCCTAACTGCATTGGGAACTTCATTTTTATATTAAAAAAAGAAAAAATATATTCATGATGTTAATAAAACACTTTATATTATTGAAAATTAATATATTAAAATATCTCCCTCATGTTTTACTGATTTTTTTTTTTTTTCCTATGGCTAGAAGGGGTCATTATGATGATCTACATTGACCTGCATCATAGTTGGTAGGGTTAGAAGGGACCTGAGCAGATCAAGTCCAACCCCCTGCCATGGCAGGAAAAAGTACTGGGGTCAAATGACCCCAGCAAGGTGTTCATCTAACCTCCTCTTAAAGACCCCCAGGGTAGAAGCCAGCACTCTCTTGGAAGTTGGTTCCAGATCCTAGCCGCCCTAACTGTGAAGTAGTTCCTCCTGATATCTAGTCTGAATCTACCCTCTGCCAGCTTGTGACCGTTATTTCTCGTCACTCCTCGTAATGCTCGGGGGAACAGGGACTCCCCCAACGCCTGCTGGTCCCTTCTGACTAGTTTGTAACAGGCCACTAGATCCCCTCTCAGCCTTCTCTTGTGGAGGCTGAACAGGCTCAGGTCCCTTAACCTCTCCTCATAGGGCCTGCCCTGCTGGCCCCTGATCATGTGAATGGCCCTCCTCTGGACCTGCTCCAAGTTGTCTACATCCTTCCTGAAGTGCGGTGCCCAGAACTGGACGCAGTACTCCAACTGCGGCCTGACCAGTACTGTATAGAGGGGGAGGATCACCTCCTTGGACCTGCTCGAGATGCATCTGTAGATGCATGACAAGGTGTGGTTGGCCTCCCTGACCACATCCCCACATTGTCGGCCCATGTTCATTTTGGCATCAATAATGATTCCAAGATCCTTTCTGCCTCTGCACTGACAGGAAGGGAGTTCCCCAATCTATAGGTATGCTGCTGGTTCTTCCCCCCAGGTGCACTACCTTGCACTTGTCAGTGTTGAAACCCATCCTGTTCTCACCCGCCCACCCCTGTAACCTGTCTAGGTCCGATTGCAGCCTATTCGCCCCTTCTAGCATACCCGCCTCCCCCCACATCTTAGTGTCATCAGCAAATTTGAACAGGGTGCTTTTTACCCCCTTGTCCAAGTCACTGTTGAAGATGTTGAACAGTGCGGGTCCGAAGACCAAGCCCTGGGGACCCCACTGCCCAAATCCCTGCAGGTCAAAAATGACCCATCCACCACCACTCTCTAGGTGCGGCCCTCCAGCCAGTTAGCGACCCATCTGACTGTGTAGGTGTCGACGCCACAGTCCCCTACTTTTTTAATGAGAATGGGGTGGGAGACAGTGTCGAAGGCCTTCTCGAAGTCCAGAAAGACTACGTCCACTGCTACCCCTGCGTCTAAGGATTTTGTGACCTGGTCATAGAAGGCCACCAGGTTGGTCTGACAGGCC